TCTAACTGGTGCTTAGGTTGGTATCATGACGTACTCACCTTTGTAATGATTCAGAGCGATTTTAAGAGCACGGGTTTAATTGAGACGCCAAGCAAAATAGGTTTGCATCTTATTTCGTATTAGGGGACATACTGCTTGCTGTTCCAGGGTGTCTCATGGCTATTAATGACCTGTGCCTCAAGGGACACTGCAAGTGCCAACAGCCGTACCTTGATCCCTTTAAATGGCTCCGTCCCCAGAAGCGATGTTAGCAAGCTTACTGCCTTGATAGTAATTTTCCCAGAATGAATATGCAGCATGATAGGACTCCTAAGCAGCCGTAAGCCTCACAGAATTTATTAAAGACCTTTCTCTACCAGTCTTCCTTTGAATTGCAAAGTTATTACTAGTTTCACTTTTTCTGTTGCTCCCTGTAACCCCTACCCTGCAGTAGGTTTAAAATACAGGTTTAATTTTGTCTCATTTCTTTACCGTACCTAATTAAATTTTAAGATTAAAAAAAATTAATATAAAAAAACCTGCAGAGAAACAGAATTGCCCCTTCAGAGCTTAGAAGCATCAGGGAAGGCAGCTTTTTATCTTGCCAGTGGCAAGACCATCACTGCAACAGAGGAATGAGACAGACAACAGACGAGCAGACAGGGAGGTGAGTAGAGACCCTGCAATCCTGTTCAGGTGACACACACCAACACAGGTTTCCTAAACCCTCCCCCCCCCCAAAAAAAAAAAACCAAAAAACCCAAAACCAAACCAAAAAATCCAACAGTGAAATTCTTGCCTACATCACATATTTCATGCCAACTCTTAACGAAGCCAGGATTTTGCCCGTCAGGACCACACTGGACTTAGATCTGTAACCAAATGGAGGTGCAGGCGGGAACAGCCATGCCTGAACCTGTTGAAGTCTCAAGAACAGGGAATTACAGAAGCAAGCTGTAATAATCAAGATTTTAAGAGACCAGCACAAATCAGGCCACGCAGACACTTGGAGGTGGAGGCCACTTGCAATGATTATGCCAATATTATGCCACTCGCTATGATTATGCCAATCTATTTTCTGAAGGAAAATCCTAAATGGAGAAGGGAACATGAGAAAGCACTTGTGCCAGCCTGCTTGAGGCCGGCTCCTTCTGGCCAACGGGAAAATTTCTCCCTCTGAAAGAGCTTGCATAGGAAGTTCAGATCTTAAATTTACCCTAAACTGTCTCCTGAGTGGCACCAAGGCTTAGCAACTTTATTAATAGCAGAAAGCTGGAAGAAACATTCAGCTGATGGCTGTAGCAATGGTTGTAGCTTGTTTTAAAAAGACAAGTCTTTGTTGGGGTTTTTTTGTTTGGGTTTTTTTTGTGCTGGTGGTGTTTTTTGGTTTTGTTTTGGTTTTTTTTTTAATTTAAGGTGCACAAAAAAGGATAGATGGAGACCAGAAAAGGCAAGGTTGCAGGGAGGAATCATTATCGAATAGAACAGGAGGCAGGAAAAGAAACATGAGACCAAGAAACAGTGGAAGATGTGTCCAAATTCCAAAGGATGAAATGATACATAGTTCTGCAAGCTGCACTGAAGACAAGGGGAGCTGAGGAGAAAGATCCTTCATTAGCAGAGAATACTCATTAAAAATACCAAGTGGAAAAGTGACGGCTAGTTCAGAACAGACTGGAAACTGTGAAAACAGATACACTGATTGTTCAAGGGTCTCCCAAAGATTAATGGGTCCTCTGTTCTTCTGTCTGAGGCCTGCTCGCTGAAATGTCTTGTGACAAAAGGTCGTGTACTCTCTGCGCTCCCTTTAGGAAATTGCTCTAATGAGTGGAGATCCTGCTTTCATATGTAAATATTCAGCAGTTTACTGCATATGCTGAGTTGGTTTTGCTTGCCACTGTAACATATTTAAAAACTAAACTTTTGATCAATTAAAAAAATCAAATAATTACTGTAAATTATCACATCTCATATCCAACATGAATACACTTTAATGTCTAGAAGAGCAGAGGAAGTATGTCTGCTGCACGTTCTGCTTTTCAAAGGCTTGAATTTGCCTTCCATCTGCTCAACCTGATTCACCTACATAATTCAAACATAATTCCAGAGTAAAACAGCTCTCGAGCACCACCACCTCCTCCCCTCCAGAGCTATAGAGGATGCTCACCGAAGGTGTGTCACCTATTTGTACCCAGCCCAGAGAGCAACGAGTAGCTTGAGAGCCTTTGCTCCTGATAACTTCTGCTCCCTCCTTACCAAGTATCTCTGTCCAGCCTTCCTTTAATGCTGCATGTTTCAAAAAAGCAATTAAAACACCCCCTTCTTTCACATCATTTGTTATTTGGCAAGCAGTGTTTAAGGACTTTCTGAAGAGTGATATTTTATCCGTCCAGACCACCATCACCACTGTCAAGCATTGGAATGGGCTGCCCAGGGAAGGGGTCGAGTCCCCATCCCCGGAGGTATTTAAAGGACAGGTGGATGAGGTGCTTAGGGACATGGTTTAGTGGTGGGATGGCAGGGTTAGGTTAATGGTTGGACTTGATGATCTTAAAGGTCTTTTCCAACCTAGACGACACTATGATCACTGCAGAGTAAAAACCGTGGACAGAAGACACAGAAGAAAATGCTTAGTGAAGATTTTTCCTTTCTTTCAATCCCAGTTTCTCCGTTTCAGCAGCTCATCTGAACGTTTCAAGCAGTTATGTTTCTAACCAATCCTGCACAGTGAGTCACATATGTGGTAATCCCTGGTAGTCCATGCACATCTAACGTGCCTCTGAGCAGTACTGGTTCAGAGCTATGCAAACTGACCTACCTCATTCTCCTTTGTCTAACTGAAAAGAAGCAACAAGTTGTATGACAGGATAAAGTATGAAATGTTTAACGTGATGTGCATCCACAGAATCCAGCTGAGCTACAGAGGAGCCACATGCCGTTCATGTGCCTGCTTCTGTACCTGCACCAATGCAGAAGGAGCAACACCAACCATGTCACAAGACTGGCACTAAAAACCACCGTGTCTGTGAGACATGGGGGAACAAAGGGCAGCGCACAGCAGACAAAACTTAAACCAGTGAATCCCAAAAACGCATTTTGAGAACACTTCCCTGAGCGAAGAATGCCATTGACAAGTATTACGTATGGCTTTCCTTCTCATTTTCCATCAGGTCTCTACTGAATCAGCTACAACAGGTAAACTGCATGACCTTCTCTCTACTCTTGTTCTTCAAACAGGATTTCTTATTTGGTAAAGCCGTTGAATCAAGTTAAATTTGCAATCAAATTAAAGCAAATGAAAAACAAGAAGGATGAACATTTTTGTGTAAGATTTCAGTCACATTTTATACATACTTGGAAAGGGATTGTCTACAGGAATTTCCCAACCTGTTCCTCCATACACTCCTGCAATTACACATGGTTTCCTGAGACTGATCAGGGCTGTCTCAAGCTTCTTCTGCTTGCACAGCTGCTAATTCTGTGAGAACTTTGTTTTAATGATAGTAAAATATATGTGCAGATACAGTAGCACATGCCAAATTTGTTAGGGATGGAGCATTCTAGTGGGAAAAGACTGGTAGAGCAACAAGGAACATGGGAGTGGGAACTCAGTGGTTTCCTTGCTATGGAAATGCAACAAGCACCTGGTTCTTGCATCAACCATGGCAAATCCTCATGACTTTGGTACTGTGGAGAAGAGCCTTACTCAGATGCAAAAGGACAAATAAGGAAAACGTGTGAGTTATTGAAATTCTTATACCCCAGTGGCAGCAGGCGGGCTTTATAAGGGTCATGGGGCTTCCAGGCAGAAACCGGAGCAAGGAAGAAAAAAAGCTTTTCAAAACTGCCCTCCCTCAGTGATCAGGGGCTTTGCTACACACGTACGCTCACTGACCCCAGCTGCCAGCCAAGGTGCTGTCACCCATGTGGGGTTTGGCTACCTGGGGGCTGCGCACCTCAGAGCACCACACACTTCAGGACGCAGAAAGCGGGTCTTACTCGCTTCCTGGCTGCTCCCTCTTGCCAAGTTCCTGCAGTCTGCATGGTATTTGACACACCATGAGCAGTAGTGCAAAAGCAGAGTTAAGAAGTTAGCAACTGAAAACGTGTGAAGTTGAGGATGTTCCCAGATAATACAAAAACCTCCGATGCAATCTGCTTTGTTTGATGATTTAGTATCCTGAGTAATCAGACATCCCAGCGAAATGTACCGTGTAAAACTGGATTTAGAGCAAAGTCACCTATTTCTCAGTTGCAATGTGAAAACCATAAACCAGATTTGTTAGCACCCCTCCCTCTTACATTTTTGACCTAAGCAGACCATACTGAACAATAGCCTATAAAGCCAGAAACAGATGTGCAAAATCCCAGAACATCAGGACCAGGCTAACAATATTAACTTCAGCAATTACTATACCATTACCTCTTAGTTTCTACAGGGACTTGCAACATACCTAAATAAGTGTTGACATTGCCTTTCATTATCAGTGACTCAAAAGACAAACTGAAACAGTAAGCCTTAGTTACCAAGTCTGTTGTAAAAACATAAGTCTGTAACAGAACAGCCAGCATGAAGACACCTAGTATTGTACATAAATTGAAAAACTAAAGAGTCTGATGACAGAGAGTTGGTCATTCACACCAGTTCTTGCTATATGCACCACCATTCACTTCCTATCATGATTTAAAACAAACTTCATAGTTTTGACATTTTCTTCCTAAAAAGGCTTTCACAGCGTTGTCAAACATGCAGCGCAGCCTTCTGCCTTCCTTTTACAACCATCCTTAGAGCCAGCCATTTATCAGTTGTGAGCAATGACTATTAAAAAGCTGCCCAAAGACAGGGCTTGCCTGCAAAAAAAAAATCAAAAGCCTTTCCCAGTGCCTTCACCTTGCAGAGCCTTTTAGAAAGTCAGTGAAGAACGCTACCCTCTGCTTCACATGGCGGTAAATAACCAAACGGGCAGCGAAAGATTAGGCCTGAGAGACAGAGAAAAGATGGGCACGATTTTAAATCTTACCTTCTGCACGTTGGGTTTGATGCACCGAACAAAGAAAGGATTTGAAGAACTCAGTGTCGCCATTAAAGAATGGAGCGATTCCTAAAATACAGGTAGAAAGAAGACAGCACTTCACAAGCTGATTTTTTGTACAAGTGAAATACCCCGGCAAAAGCTCTTGCAGCTTAGCATTGCAGACAACATCTAACTGCAACACCTAGTGGTTCACCCTGGAAATTACCATACTATGTAAGCTCTTGCTATACGATGAACATACAGAATCAATACACGGATATTTGTTTCTTCCACCAGCCCTTTTGATCGAAACTATCATAACCATTTTACAGGGAACAAGACATAAACAAGATATACAGAATGAGATGAAGGAAACTGTTCATAAGGAAACACCAAACAGGAAGGCTGCTGGCTTAGGGGTCTTTTCAATGACTGCTTAGGACGTAGGATCCACATTCCCAAATTGCTAGAATTCATAAGGAAGGAAAAGGGTCAGAGGTAAAACTGAAGTAACCACAAACTAGATCTCCTCTTTTCATTTCAACCTCCCCATACCCACTACTCATTTTCCATTTTCCCTGCCATCAGCAGCATTTTATGTACAAGGATTTCCCCTCTCCTGTGCGGTCTCAAACTTTATTACTAAAAAGACACTGATAATAAACGCACATCAACAAGAGGGTAGAAAAAATGATAAAATTTTATGAAAAAAGAGTTAGTTTAGAATATAGTAGCCATTGCTTTATCAATACTAGGTTTTAAAACACTCCCCTTCCAAAACTAACAAAAATTGAGTAAAGGATAGGGTGGTAAAGAAAACACATCTTACTGAAAGACAATGCTAACAGCATTAAGAAGACAGTTTCACAGTTATTTCATGTGATAGCTAATTGCATTTAACAGTAAAAAGAGAGATTATAAGCTTCAGTTAAAAAAATAGAAGAAAACATGGGGTTTTTTTCCTAGTTTTAGAACTCTGAATGACCCAATACACATTAGACTATCAGTTGTCTGAACCTCAGCCTGGAGATAAAAATCACAAAAACCCCCCCTGATCCGTCATTCCCTATCTTATGCCAACTTGCCTCATTCTCTATCATTAGGTATGATAAACCATTTTAAACTGAAGTCTTGCATTTACTTTCCAGAGGTACAAATGACTGTACAGGAGCAAAGCCCAGAAAGCTAGCAATGATAATGTTTCACCCCTCAAAGGTGGCACTGGGTGCCAGGCAGTGGAGAGAATACAGAGCAGGCTGCCAAGGAGACAGAAGATTCCCTTTTTAAAGCAGCAACACTGTGTGTCCTACCATATGTTTTGGAGCAAAACTGCCAATGGCAGTCTGTTACAACAAATTCTTGCTTTAATCTGCAAACCAAGGGCTTTCTTGATGATTAAACATGAAGCTATAAAAAGGCAACAGGCAGAGTTGTGGCTGAGCACAGGAGCTGGGACAGAGCAAAGGGAGCAAATGGTGAAGTGACTGGGAACATAAATGATAGTTCTTGGTTCGTTTGCCTTTGCCAGCCTACAGACCAGGAGTTGGGAGCAGCAAACATTAAACAGCCAGATACAAAGACAAGTATTTTTGTGTAAAGACAAATATTTACAGCTTCACAAAGTAAAGGCTTCTTCCATATTAAACCTGTGTGAACATTACAACATCTACAGACAACCAAGCTAATTCTCAGACTTTTTAGCAGCACAGGCTACTACTTACACAGGTTGCAAAAGTTGGTCAGTCTAAACAAAAATTATTTAATCTGCTTTCACATCCGTCCATGGTACAGACAGCCAGATTCTGCACGGTGCTGAACGCCTCTAAGTCACTGTCAGGTGACGAGCTAATCTGAAGTTTGCCCTGCTTTAAGCAATAGGCTGAAGCAGATGGTAAACAGCCTCAGCTATTCTGCCTGCACCCCCAGGCCCACATTAGGCAGGCTGTCAAATGAAAAGAAGAGTTAACAAACCTATCATGAGAATAGAACTGTGAAGGCAAAGTTCTTATCTTCAGTTGAAATGAGACGGACTAATCCCTGGAAAGCTTTAAAACATGGAAAAACACCCAACCTAAATTCTTCGGGAACAGGATGATGTGAAGGTCAACCTCTTGTAAAGCAGCCTAGCTGGTTAATGGTCAGTTACTGCAGCTTTAGGTAAGAGGCAACAATATTCTGATTTCATGTTTTATCATGCTTTATGTTAGCCTGGGGCCCTGACGGAGAAGAGAAGGAACTCTACATTGTGTTCTACCTTGCAAAGCAGGTGCAAAAATATGGTTAATTTTTATACAGTAACATCTTAAAGGTCTACTTTGCATAGGAACAAAGGCTAAAGTTGAAAGAGGACCTTCTGCTATCCCAGACAGCTAGCAAATAATACCACCTCATCACAAGAAGTGGGTCTTGTCTGAGACAAGCGATGGCAGCACGGAGCAAGCTGTCCAGGGATTATAACATTAGTGTTTCTTAATAAAAGAGACTGTGTGTGCCCCAGCATTTATTCCTTGCTGTTCTGTGCAACAGTTAGCAATAGTCTATTAGGATAAAATCTGCCCTCAAGGGGTTCAAGTCTGCTCCCTTTGTTATAGAAGTGAATTAACAGTGCAAATGTATATTAAGTCAAACAAAACGAAAGACAACTAATCCAGACTTGTACTCACGCAATTTAGAGAAGGTTTTGTGCCAATCTTTCTCTTCTAAATAATTTGCAGATAGACTTTGTGCTAGATTTCAATTTGGTGCCATTTTTGATGGCAGGGCTATAAAGCCTCATAAAAAGGTCTAATAAAAATGCTTTCCAAACTTTAAGTTAAAAAGCAAGACAACACCTTAATGAGGTATGTATTCAGTATTTACTTTTTCTTAGCATACAGCACTGCTGTAAGGCTTTTTGCCATTTCGTGGTTGATTTTAGATTAGAAATGAAAACCAAGACCAGAGAGACCAACTTCATAGATGAGCTTCACAATAATAACAAGTAAGCAAACGGAATGCAATAGGAGTTATGTGTGGATGGTGTGATGTGAAGGTTAGTTCCTGCTTGAAGCTAGCTAGCATGACCAATTGATTAGTTAGTACAGTTTCATAGAAGAGAGACAGCAATGTTTGTATGCTGAAGTTTTACTTATTTTAATCTACAACTGTTCTTCACTGAACACAGGGTTTATCTATCGCTGATTAGCTACAGAGCAGAGACAACACGTTAACCAACCTTGAACTGGAGACTGACAGTGGGTTTTCGGTGCTTGCTTCCACATTTAAGAGTGTCTTGATTGTTGCGACTTGAAACATGTTCAAATAGATCATAGATGAAATCAAGACTGAAATGGGAAGGAAAAAGGAAAATCTCTAAAGTATATCTTAACAGACTACAAGGTTTACTACTATAGAATGCAAAGAGAACACTGTCCCTTAGAAAGCAGCTTCCTCCGTCCAAAAAATGTTTATTGATATTCTCCATAATCTTTCATAAGCAGTAGATTTTCCCTTGCAGAATTTATGCAAGGGAACAAAAAAAAATGCAAACCCAAACATGGAGGTTCTTTCTTCTCCACTCGCAACATATCATTAGGGAAATGAAGTATGAAGTCCTAGAGTCCTTACTGCATTTAATCCACTCACTCAACCAAAACTCCAACTGACTGTTAATGGGAACTGTACCTGAGTAAAGACTAAAAAACAAGATTTCCAGTTTGTTTGGGGCCATAACACAAAATAACCACTCACATGATCTTCACTTGCAGATACCAGCTGTGTATACTGCTTTCTACACTATCAGTCTGGTATCCTCCTCTTACCACTTTTACAGAAATGCAGACCTTTTAACTTAAATGGAGTCACTCCAAACAGATGTTGGTGCAAGAGCAAAACCAGGCCCAGCAGTTTTAACTCATTTACTACTTTTACCTCCGTACATACTTCAATTGACAGCTGTTATGTCAGCTACGTCATGAAACCAGAACAAACAACGCAGAGAAGGAAACGCTTATCAACAGCTTCCCCTGCACAGAAGGGCTTAAGGGATTAACAAACAAGCAACTCCCACAGCAAGGCAGGATGACTGGATGGGATGGGTGAGAGCAGCAGCCAACACAGTGACACCCGGGCTCAGCTCCCTCGTCTCCCGTCACCCCTCTGTGTGTACTGGAGTCTCAACCATACGCCTATAGAAAGGGACGTGGTACCACTTCAGCTCACAGGGTACCACCGTAAGGAACCCAAGACCTTACACAGTAGAATGACAGCAGGCATGCAGGTACCAAAGAAATCCAAACTCAGACTTTCAGTATCATAAATCTTTATAGAAACTCTCCCTTTTAAGCAATTACTATATGGCAATTTGCACTGTGGTTGGTCACTGACACTGAGCTTTCACCCACATTAGGGAATGCCAGAAATACAAGCAAATCAAGCTCTATATGAAGCAAAAAACCCCATGCATGCATGCATGCTGCCTATGAGGCACCCTGAAACAGTTCAAAAACATAACCAGCTTTCAGCATCCCACCACTGAGTAGTAGCAACCAAGCTCTCTAGCAACACCCTGGACTGAACAGGGACGAGGTACCGTAAAGTGTGGAAAAACCCGTGAGTGAGAGCCGATTACAGTCAGATCTGCTTACAGGCACCTCTGGTATTTCCTCCATGCTCCTTTCAACTCTGCAAGGTCTGACGCTATGCAACTTCTAACATATTCAAACCCTGGCAGAATTAGGTGACATGACACCCCTTAATGTCATGTCCTAAACAAAAATCATGGAAACGTACCTGCTTTCACGTAACAAGTTCAGGAGATCGTCTCTGAAAGTATCTCTGTTCTTCTCCAAGATGCCCCTGACATCATACTGGACCTAGAAGGAAACAAGAGCTGATTCAAACAACAAGCCAAGTAGTCAGGCACTGCTCTACAGCAGTACCGTAAAAAGCACTGAGGGAACAGAGTGCTTTAGTTAAATTTGAGCAGCCTCAGGGTAGAATTAAGCTAATGAAAACTCTGTTTGGAATAATTTCAGCAAATAAGGAAAAGAAAATTACCTCCCCAGCATAGTGCTTCACTCCAAAGTTGTGAACGGCAACTCTTGGTTTCACATAAAAAGGATTGTTCTAATTGGAGAGAAAAGAAAAGATAAAAATATTGGGGTGGGGGGCGGAGGGGGGGTGTCAGGGAGTAGAATGATATAAAGAATCACATTATCCTCTCAGCCCAGATCTGAACTAGCCATTGCCTTCCAGTGAACTCCATGGAAGATTAGTGCTCCAAAAGCAAACAACCAACTTATAATGATAATAGGATTTGTTAGTCTGGGCTGCTTCAAATGCAGTAATAGTATCTAAAAAGGCATTATACTAAACCTGAACCCATCTGGCAGAACCATTAAAGGCAATTTGAAAAAGCAGGCTCTGTCTTAAACTGGCAGTTATGAAGATTGGTGGACATATGCTTGTATCCCAGAAATTCTTGAAAATAATTCTAGGATCACAAATAAAGGTAACACTAATCTGGACAGAGGAAGCGCAGAAATTCTTGAAAATAATTCTAGGATCACAAACACTAATCTGGACAGAGGAAGCAGCAACCTTTTGGTCAATGGCATCAAGGTGAATACTTCATTAAATCAAGGGAAACTGAAGATCTAAGTAGTCTGAGTTACTGCAGGTTGTCAGAGCTCTAACTAAGAGCAGAACTTGGCTGATTCACCAGTATGGAAATCTTTAACTGGACAGTAACAAGGCTATGTTCTTCCAGGTAACCAACTCAGTCTTCACAGCAAATGATAGGGATTGCAATGGAAGTAGAATCACATCCAAAACAGCCTCTACAACTATGTGCCCACGTATTTCCACATGAATTTCTACAGAAGCAAAGAGACCCTCCATAATTTGACCAGAATACATGAGCAAAACATCACATACAGCATGCTGGGTATTCAACTTCTCCAGCAAGGTGGAGTCAGTAGCTTGAGGAAAATGGCTCTCTTCATTGATGAGTGCCAGCAGGCCCAGTTTCTAGAACAGCAAGAACAGGCAGAAGATGAATTAGTGCACAGATAGACACAGACCTTTTCCCCAGTTTGGAAAAATAACAAAGTTCTTGAAGTTACGGTGTGCAGAGAGGTGCAAACCCACCCATACATGACTAAAAACCTGCTCTCATAGAGGACTGCAATCCTTTTTTTCTGGCAAGACTCCTTTGGAAACATACAGCATATGACACACAGGCAAAATAAAGAAAAAGAAGCTACTGGGAGAAGCAACAGTTCTCCTGATGAAGGGAGGTTTTAGGTGCACACAACTAGATTACCCCAGAATATATCCCCAGCCTCCAAGACCTCCAAAGATCCCTTAAGTCTGAGGAGTTTGTGTAAACAGTGTTTCAAAAATTTTCCTTCCATAAAATTATCTACTTACATGTTGAACCAATGAGAACTTTTAGCACCCAGAGTGCCCATGGGCACAGCAAAAGACACACAGTTTAACCACGCACCGCACGAAACACAACCTCCCTTTGCTTTGCACATGCCTCTCTATAATTTCCTTTGATGTTCCCTACTTTTCATACTAGAAGAGGTTGTAAACAAAGCAAGCTACCCTGTAGTTAAGTAATGTGTCCAGCAAGCTTCGGCCTCTCAAAAAACCCACGGTTCTCCAGGTGTGCACTTTAATAAGCCACTTCCCATCGGCCCAGAGCAGCTCCTGGCAAACCACATCGTCCTGACTGCAGCCACGTCCTGGCAGCTGCATCCCCTGCCCGCTGCCATCAGGTTGTGGTTGTCTAAGCTCATGCAGCCACACACCCCGCTACAAAGATAAACTCACACAGCCCGCCTATACTGCTGGCAGAAGGGAACACGGATGAAACACATACATGACTTTGGCTTTGTCATCCAGCCAGAGTTATCATTTCCAGGGGCTCAAATGAAACCTCACCTGCCCATCACCACTAACATTCCTACCAAAAACTCTGCAGAAACTTCATGCTCTTTTGCATCTTTCCTTAGTACAAATCAGAGTACAAACAAAACCAGAGGTGAAGCAAAAATTGGCAGGCAATAAATGAAGAGTACTCGCATCCCAGGAAAACCTATTATGGAATCAAGACACTGTCATTCTTTCTGCCCTCCCCTTCCTATTCTTTTTAATCATCTCCAAATATTCCTTTTGTATATAATCGTACACCACTAAAAATTACTACAAGGAAAGACTGAGCTTACAATATAATGTAGAATATGTCCATGCATGAAAATTATTTTATTAAAAGATCACTATTTAAATATGCAAGAGCCACCATTCTCCTCACTTGTTCTTTGTGTTAGCAAGTGGTTTAAAAAAAACTCAGAATAAAAAATAGAAATAGGTACTGATATCAAATTCTTTATTACCTTTTCAATAAGATCCAAGCACTCTCCATTGTCTGTCCAGTCAATGTCCTCCCAAACTAGTCCTTCCCTAAGGAAAATAAGGACGGCCTTTTTATTGACAACTACAAAGAAAAGATTTTAAATATCGAACTAGGAGGAGCTGATGTATTTGCTGTGCAAAACACAGCAAAATCAGCTTGCTTTTAAAAAGTGCACAGCCCCAGACTGGGAGATTTTTAAAGGAAGCAAAGGTAGCTGTGAACCCAGATTTCAAGTGAACACTGATATTTTCAAAGTTCTTTCAAATTTCATCTGTATCTCTTACCTGCTGTATTCCAGTTGCTCCAAGGAAAAGATGTGCTTGTTGAAATACTCCTGAAGCTTTTCATTTGCATAGTTAATATTGAACTGCTCAAAACGATTTACCTAGAGAGACATGAAATTTTCAAAAATACATACACTCCAAGTACTTTACTTTGCAAACAAGGAACTGGTTTAAGTCGTAACATGTTTAATAATCAAGTTCCAGTGAAGACGACAAAGATATGTAGAAAGATTAAGCATAAATATCAGACAATCCATCTGAACAAACTTTTGAAACCTACCTCAAAGTTTTCAAATCCAAATATGTCCAAAATTCCAATGGACTTGAAGTCTTCCTTGCTTCTGATTCTACTGTTGATTTTCTTAATGACCCAAGCAAAACACTGAGAATAAAGTGCCATAGCCATAGAATCTCTGCTGTCTATTGCCTGCATTAAAGAAGGAACAGACAATGCATCCATCACCCCTGTAACTGAGAACTTACCAGACTTTGCTGGTCAGCATCCCTTGCAAAGCATAGGATCACAGAATCATTTGGTCAGAAAAGACCTTTAAGATCATTGAGTCCAACCACACAGAGCAAGGCATAATGCAAGCAGATTTGTATTCCTATGTGCCTTGACAACAATTTTATTAACAGAGAGTCCCAATTTAAGCTTTAACAGTGTAAGATACAACAGCTGTACACCTATGTGGCTTTAAAATTACATCTCAAAACCGAAGCATTCAAAAATTAGGGAATTAGTATAAACTTCAGGTGTGGAGGAAGAAAAGAGAAGCATAGGAAATAACACCTTAATTTACACCCTTTCTAGAGGTAAGCATAATGTTATGTATATCTTTTTCTAGTCCCTTTCTTGTAAATAATAAAATTATTTTTGCTCAAACTTTTCAAAAACACCCACCTGACACAAATGTCCATAATGAAAAATGCCAGTCTACATGACTAGAATTTGGAAAAAATGGTAATCAATCGGGCTTAATCAAATAACAAGAGCCAAGCTACAAGCCCTGGATGGGATATACAGAAATTTCTAAAAGTCGAATTATACCCTTCTCAGAAAACTATGCAGTGTTTTTGATGGCAACTCTGATGTATGATTTAATCTTCTGTTCCTGAGCAACCAATGATTTCACTGGAATTGAAGTCTGAGCCATATATTTAGCAGACCCTAAAACCACATCAAAACTGAGACGCCTTTACCTGTTGTATACTAAGAGGTGTTAGGATTTCTTCTCCCCTGAGTATCATTGACCTCTGTGTCAACGCTTCCGTTAGCTGTGTGGAGTCCAACCCCAGTAGTTCAGCAGATCTACCCAGAGCTGGCAAAAGAAAGGGATAAATACAAATATGTCCTTAAATGTATAAGGCTATGAAACTAATTATTATTACTATTATTACCACCACTTAAGATGTTTCTAAAATGATGGGGATTGGAGATAGAATCACAACTAGAAACTCTAGGATATGTTTTTGCTGCTCAGGAAAAGGCACAGTATCATAAATATGCACAACTGAAGGAATTTAGCAGATTCATCACAAGTAAGTCACAAATATTTATTTTCTTCTTAATGTTACACGTCAAGGATTCAAACAATCTACTGCTTACACTAACATATTTTTCCAGATACAAACAGTAATTCACTCTTTGTCCACATCAATGTGTTTCAGCTTCCCTTGGGATGATGAGGATAAAGAAAACCAATGACATTTTTTTGTTACATGCATAATTTAATTTTCAATTTTGCTGTGGTGTGGTATGTAAGCAGTACGTAATGCTACTCTTTATTGCCGTCTTCGAAGAAACTTTTAATATGCTCGCCAACCCAATCTTAAGACATACCAGCACATAATTTCAGATTTGTACTTGAGGTATTGAAAGCTCTAACAAGAGATACCTTCAGTGGAGATCTCAGTTAAGGAATGTACTTGAGCACTTACATTTTATCAGTTTGAGAATATTTCAAAGGAGTAATTAGATTACAATGGAATTTCTCTACTATTAATGGAATAAATATGTGCCCAAGGTCTTCCCTAATTAAGACCTAGAATCCAGCAGCAAACTAATTGGCCTTATCTGTCACAAAAACCCAAACCCAATATCAACATTTAAAGATGCTATAAAGCAGTAAGACCCTTTGACTGTTTGTCCTTGCTCTGGTCAAATATACCAGCAATGAATGTAACTTTCGCAGCCTCAAGAAACATTTACATACTACAAGAAAGCACAGCCTTCTCACCTGTTTTAAAGGACACCTGTGCCCCACCAGCAGTGATGAACTCAATGTTTCCTAGATGCAAAATGCCAGCCAACAGCCTCAAAACTTCTCGTACCTCCTCCTTGCTGAACTGCATCACTTCCATTGCAGTCTGGAACGACACATGGGCTTCTTCAATAACATGCACACTGACTCAAAAATGGGGACAAGGCCAAACCTGCCAACTGTGTTGTCAGGCCTTAGAAAGGCAGGTCAGGACCAAGATAGGACTGGCAGGAGTTAATTCCTTTGGTTTCATCCCAAATCAAACACACCATAATACATCACAGGGCCAACTTGGAACATGCAAGTGTCACTCCAGTTTTAAGAAATCTCCTTCTGATGCTGTAAGGATCCTGTAATTTGATTTAAAATTCTTCTGTATAAACACTGAAATGCCCCACTGAGTTGTGCATCAGATGCAATTTCACTAATTTGCATGAGTAACTGATAACCTCTTCTGTGTTTTGACCAAATTTTGCCAATTAGCCTTGTAGGTAAAACAAGGTGTGGGGGAGGAAACACTGCAACATGTAAGATTTGCTCATTTGTTGTCTCAGCCACGGAGAATTCAGAGGAGGCCTTCTGCAGCATATTCTGGGCAAAGAGTGAAGCCCAAACATGCATCTTACCAGTGTGGTCTAACGTCTTACAGCAAAACTGAACAAGAAAGAGAGATCTATATAAAATGTGTTGAATTTATGAATAATCACTATGGCAATGATCAAGGCTCAACTATGTAACAAGAAGAATGGCAAACCTCTATCTAAAAAACCATTAAAACAAGAAGAGGAACATACACCTTTCTCTGACATAAAAGGGGTGAATAATTGTATGCCTCTAGAAAGCACCAGAATTTCCCAAATTTGGCCTGTCTGAGACCAGATCACAGTCTTACACCCTTACAGTCAGAACTCTTCATGTTATGGTCATTGCAGGTGTCTGAGAGATGACACAAAACACATTTTACCTTTCATAAATCATCAGTTCATAAATCATCAGTTTCATAAATCATCAGACTCATCCCAAATTACAAGTAGAGAAGAGATAAAGAGATTTTGCATAGAAGACCTTTCACAACAGAGCTCTAAGAAAGGCGGCAGCGCTGTCAGTTCGTCTCCATGCAGTTCCTCCCTGTCTCCCACAGAAGTTTCAGTTAAGTAACATTTCCGGGACTTAAACCGCAATAAAAATAGGCAAAGGGGATGACTATAATAGGAAAAGACAGGCGAGGGTGAACTGCGGGGCTTCTGCCCGCCTCCCGCTCTGGGAAGGCAGCCTGGCAGCCTCAGCCCCCGCTCCACGCCTGCCCACGCTGCGGGCAGCACGCAAGCATCACCTGCCCAGCTGGTTTCATGCCCTGCCTACCCTGGGATGATTAGCACAAATTAAATGTCACGTTAATCAGCTTAAGCCACGTGTCTATAATGTAGGTAAGTCACCAACTTTTCCAACACCTCGCCGCCCCCACCATACTCGATGAAGTCGCTGTACAGTAAAAATAACTGCTGCATCCACTACACATCAATTGGTCGATTTGGCAAAGAGATTAACATAGCTAAGCAAAAATAGCTTGGGTAAAGGGCATAAAACCCATTATTTTTACTGATTTTTAAAATCCAACACATATCACCTTGGTGATATGGTAATCAATTAGCAATTATCCTAACAGTCAGTAGAGACTAATTGCTGTAGCTAATTGGTGTGGGTCTAAAACATAAAGCCATTCAGAGAAAAACCCCATCAGGACCTGTTTTTTCATCTATGTTTACATTTTCTTCAACTCTATTGTGTACGTTACTTGATACAACTGGATTTCCCAGCTACAACTGGGAAGGAGTCACAGAAGCCCAGGCACTTTGCTCCCCATGTGCTGCACTGCAGACTTGACCCAGTAAGGTGCTACATGATCTGGGCAGAGCTTTAGGATGGAAAAACAGTGGAAGCAGACATACCTGTGACATAAAACAATGTAGGGAAGGGCAAAGGCATCGAAATGCCTTACTGTCTTCCTAACTGATATTCTTTTCATTTAAAAACTTAATGATTTCACTAAATGATAGCACACTTGGAAATGACAGAGTAAAAATCAAGCAGTGGAAAGGAAGGTAAAGACATGCTCAAAACGACAGTGAAGTGTTAATGAGAAAATGTAAGTCCCTGTAAGCTTAGTTCTTCTGAGAGAGCTGCACGTAGAGCCAGAATGGCAGCGTGTGCAGGTAAGCACAAGAAGGCTTTGCCCCCTGCTCTGTCAATGAGCCCCAGGTGCCTCCACCTCCAGCATTTTTAAAGCATAAAGAACTAGGGAAACAACTCACCACGACTTCCTTGAAAGAATCTTTGTCACTGATTGTCTTATCCGCTATACATCCAGACTGATTCAGGTAGTGGTAGTTCTCCGGTACAGATAAGTAAAAAGCATCTAATGAGGACAGAAAAGAGGACGACTGAAAAAAAAACAATCCCAAAACAAAACCACTCCAGAAATTACTGTCAGAGTTAAACGGTTTACAATTAATTTGCTTAGAAATTATGATGATGCACGAAACAAAGTTTTGTAATAAAATCAGGTATAGAGTTCTATTTTGCTGTTTTTTTACTTTATTTAGCTGCACAATGGAGTTAACTCTACTTTTTAGCATGCAAAGACAGCAGGCCCAAAGGGAGATGCTGAGACAGCTATAGGCAGTTTTGCCCATATACAAATGTCATTTCTTTTGTTCAGTGGATTTATTCTTTATGAGAGAGGATTAGAGGAACCAGAATTATTTCTCTTTGTTGCTATGGAGTTATTTAGCACCAGCAAAATTATTTAGCTTGAACAGAATGAAGTATGTTTGTCCCCAAGTAATCTTCCCAGGGCCACAGCAGAAGCTGGGAGAAAAATTAGCAGCCGCTTGGTGACATTCTTCAACTAAGCAGGTTACTTTATCAAGCTGAGCTCAAATTCACATTCTTTGAATCCCGGCTGAATAAATAACCTATTTCTCTGCTTGGGTTAGTGGGTTTCTGCAGTTAAATTCTCCACCGCTGTCACCATGGCTGACTGCTAGCAGAGAGCCACTACAGTTGTGTGACTTGTGCCTTGCCACTCACCTTTCTCTCTCTCTTCTATCCCTGCCAGCAGAGCATAGAATATATGATAATTTCTTTCCCCGGGGTTTTGTCTTACTACACGATTCTGTCAAAGTAAAAAATAGTTTCCATTTAAGCATTAATTTTTAAGAATAATTTTTTTTATCCACAATTTCAAAGAAAATATTAAATCAAACAGAATTAACTGAGCAAAAGCAAACATCAACTTACTTTTTCCAATAAATCTACAGCCAGGCAGAAAAACTTCAGTCAAGGAATAAAGTAAAAAGCAGCAATTAATGCACAAGCTATTTATAATCTTCCTTAATCCTTTCATTTGAGACAACCAGAAGAGCATCATGGTCTTTTCTTCCAACATGCCTACTGCCATAACAAGATGAATAAAGTGGCAACAAGGATAATATTGCAGCAGTTCTAATACTGATGTGTTCCCACACCTTCTTTTCCTCCGTCCCATCAAAACTGGACTTGTTATGTTCTGGGTTTTAAATGGCGTCTGCTTTCCTTTACTTTTCCCTAAAGCTTGGGAACAGCTTTAAGAATGAAATTTATCCCACTGCAAAAGCAGCTTACGTTCAAAACACTAGGTAGGATTGCCTTGGTATATTCCTCATCCCCACACCTCTGGCGCTTTGGTAGAGCTGGCTCATAGTCCAATTTTGCCAAATGCAGAACAAATCCAAGAATTTGACCCATCCATGCTCATGCTGCAGAAATTCAGCAGCTCTGCTCTTTCAAGTATTTTTCCAGAAACTAAGCAGCTTAGCTTTAGATATAATAAATGAGGGAAATAGCTGACAACTGAAGTTATCCCCAAGAACTCAGGCTGGTTTAGCTCACTACGTAGGAACACACACGAGCCGCACGAGCGGTAGCAATACAAAATCCTCGTCCTCCGAGAGTATACGCATCCCACCCTGCCACAAATGCACACGTGCATGCACAAATACACACAGAATACGGTGTTACTGCTTCCCTTTCCCACCTAGATCAGCTCAAGTCAATTGTTTACGTTTCAGGATGGGGAGAAAGGAAAGAGAAGGGCGAGCCACTTCTCTCTCAGCCCTCCACAGAGGAGGTACATGGGGGCTGCCCGCAAACAGGGGTAAAATCACCAAACGAGGATACAATCTATAATTCTTCCTCCCTGAATGTTTCCTTTCTGACAGATGTTCAGCTGAATAAACTTCCCAAAGCGACTTGAGTTGTTGTTGTAAACAGTCTTCGCATTGCCAAAAGCTTCCATAATTGGGCTGTGAAAATACAGAACAACAAGAGCATTAACGTGTGACCAGCATGCCAACGGTTTCGCACGGGACTGGTGAAAGGAATAGCACTCTGAAAACCTCATTTCTGACACCCTCCTCAGACAAAGCCTACGTCCTCAGCATTAGCCTCAATTGATTAACAATGGGCATCTCAATTTTCTGTCAAAAGACGCACGTATTCAAGCATCAGGAAAATTAATCGTACTAAACTACTCTGCAGCTTAACCTACAACTGCTCAAAAGATGCACGCAGTTCTCGTTGCAGTATTTGAATTACAGAATTGAGAAATCTCAGCACATGCAAATTGCTAGACAGATGTA